CTTGGCTTTTATTTGTGTAGCTTTAATATATAGTACTATAATGTATAAATACAACACAAAACTACAGTACTATACCATACAGTTCAATCAGCAGAAATTATAAGAATGTATAAAAACAGTATGCTGTACAAAAAAACAAAAAGACACTCAGGCTCTATCAACAAGATATTCAGAACAGTACCAAAAAAAAAAAAAAAAGAAAGAAAAGGACAGATCCTAAGTCTGAGTGGCAGGTCCTAAGTCCAAACAATACACTTCAGTCATTAATTCTGAACAGTCATTAACCAGGTAGGTTGTTAAATACGGAATAACTGTACTTTATAATGCAACTATGTTATTAGGGTCAACATGAACACTTCAAATTGCTTTTTAAATTTCTCAACTAGAACACCATGCTGAATATTATTTGCTTTCTATTATTTACTGCCCCTTCTCAGTGTCTGAGTTTCTGGAACTACTATATTGTCAAGACTAACAAGAGGCAGTCAGACTTCCTCTCTCAAAATGCAAATACCATCCCTTATTCTCTTTAAAACCATAGGCAATGGGTCAGCCAGATAGCCCAGCAGATAAAAAGTGCCTGCTTAGGCAGACGTAGGGATGGGGGTTCAATCCCCAGTGCGCCATGCCAACCCCACCCCCGGGGTATGCTGAGCTGGCAATTGAAACGGCATGGTGGCACATGCCTGGAATCCTAGCACCCAGCACTTGGGAGACTGAAAACAGGCGGATTACTACAAGTCCAATCTATGCAGTGAGACCCTATAGACCCTGTACTAAATACATTTTTTTTAAAAAAAGAAAACGATAGGCAATTTTCTTACATATACATTATGAAAACTCCCTTAGCTTCAACTTTTTTAATGGAACAACTTCTACCCCTTTAACTTTTTTTTTTTACCTAGCCCAGGAACAAAATTGTTTGCTTTGACCCTGAGTGTAAAACAAGTCTCACAAACACCTTCCTTTATTTATTTATTTGGTACTGGGGATCGAACTCAGGGCCTTGCGCTTGCCAGGCAGGCACTTGAGTTGCTGAGCTATCCCCCAGCCCACAAACACCTTCAAATTCTAACAAAAGAACTTACCTCCAAAGGGCATACACTACAGTCTGTCACAGGAAAATGTACTGTTATAATTTTAGCTTATTCTCTGGTGAAAGTTACTAATTGAGTGAAGTCCAAATATATAGACTAAGACAACGCAACAAATAGACGAACCCACTGCTAGCTGACTGTTAGTCTCTGAAGAAACTAAGCAAAACTCTAAAAGAATTTGATGTACTTGCTGTTTCCACAGCTGGCTAAGTGACTTCCTAAGTACTGTGTATAACCATCTGCCCAGCTGACAATCTCAGATGTGCCTGAACTCAAAACTCACCTTAGTTTCTCTTACTTTTGATATTTTTAAGAGATGCATATTACTAGATATACACTAAACTACGGGCTAAGGGCTGAGCAGAGGTAAACAAGATAGACAAGATGTCAAATGATAATAAGGAGGCATAACAAACATAGAAGGTAGTCTTAATTTTTGATAAAGAAATTAAAAGTGTGACCCAAAAAAGGGGTAAAACTTTAAGGCAGTCCAAGAAGGCTGCTCTGAGGAGTAGCTTTTTTTTCCCCTGTATTTTAGGGAAGGGTCTACAGGGTGTTCAGGGTCTCACTACTAGATCGGATTCATAATGATTCTCCTGTTTACAGCTTCCCAAGTGCTGGGATTACAGGTGTGTGCCACCACGCCCAGTCTCAATTGCTGTCTCAGTGTGCTCCGGGGTTGGGACTGGCACAGCAGGCCCAGAGATCAAATCCCCGGCCCCTAAGCCTGCTTGTAGGCGCCTTAATCTGCTGAGCTATTTGGCCAGCTCTAGGAGCAGCATTTAAACTGAAATTCAATCTTCTATTATGTTTCTATTGAATAATTGTTTAATGATCTTCTCAGTACCCTTATGTTAACTTGGTGTTGACTAAGGTAGGTGAGGTGGCACACCTGTAATCCTAGCACTCAGGCAGCTGAGGATGAGTTCAAGGCCAGGGCTCAATAGTGAGTAAGCCAGCCTAAATTACAGAGTAAACCCTATTTAAAAAAAAAGAGGTGGCACATACCTATAATCCCAGCACTCAGGAGGCTAAAGCAGGAGGATAACTGTGAGTTTGAGGTCAGGCTGCACTACAAAGTGAGTTCAAGGCCAGGCTCAACTGCATAGTGAGACCCTGCCTCAAAAAGACCGAAAGTAAAAAAATAAAAGAATTTTCTACAATTTCAAATTTATTAATTTACTTACCAAGCACTGTATAAGAGGTCAGCAACAACACAGAATAGTAGAAGATGTCTATTTTGCTCAAGACATGAAGGGAAAATGAAGTCAAATTTATGAATCCTGGAGGTCCTAAACACAAAAAAACTAATGAATGCATATAAAATTTAACTTCTTTGTATCAATTTTTGTAAGACTTTGATGCGCTACCTGCTCTACATTCAGCAAACCCTTTGTTACATGGCACCTATGCAGATGACACCGTTTTACATTCGGAATCCCAGTGAGTCAATTTAGAATTACAGAGCGCAGAAAGTTTAAAGGAGTGGTTTAGTTGTGAGACATTTTGCATAGACATGGACAAAAGGCATATATATATATGTTTCTCATATTTATCAAGAACTGCAAGTCTTCATATTAGATCCATCATCACACAGCAACATGCTTTTTAAAGGCGGGAGACGTAGTATAGATTGAGAGAAATTGATAAGATGTAGCAACCAAATGTAAAATGTAGACTTTTGTTTGAACCATAATTTAAACAAGTTGGCTCAAAGGAGACATTATTCAAGATAAGTGAAGGAAACTGAGGGCTGGCCAGATAGCTCAGTGGATTAAAGCACCTACTTAGGCAAAAGCAGGGGCCAGGGTTTGATCCCCGGCATGCCGTGCTGGCCCTGCCCCAAAGGTGTGCTGAGACGGCAACTGAGACTGAGCATGGTGGTGTACACCTGGAATCCCAGCGCTTGGGAGGCTGAAAACAGGAGGATCACTACGAGTCCAGTCTGTGTAGTGAGACTTTGTAGAGCCTGTACTAAATACAAAAAAAGAAAACTGAACAAAGCCTGATATTGGATATTAAGGAATTATTATTCGGTTTTGTAGTTACGTTAATGGCATTCTGATTATGTTTTTAAGAAGTTATTTTCTCAACTGGAAAGTAAAACAACTTTTGTAGTGATACAATTTGGATTAAAGATATTCCACTAAGAATGAGGGGAGGAGCTAGGCAAAACATGGTTGTTGGAATGACAGTAATTATTAAATCTGATTAATTATACAGCATCCATTGTGCTATTCTCTTTTGTGTACATTCAATGTCTTTCTTTTCTTTTCCTTGTGTGTGTGTGTGTGTGTGTGTGTGTTTGAGATATGGTCTTGCTATGCAGTTCAAGCTGGCCTTGAGCTCACTGTAGCCCAGGCAGGTCTCGAACTCACAATGATCCTCTTGCCTCAGCCTCCCAAGTGCTAGGATTATAGGCATGTGCCACCATACCCGGCCATTCAGTGTTTTTCTACATTAAGAGATGTTTTTAAGAAAAAAATGAAGAGTAGGAAAGAATCTGGTTAGGAATTAGTGTCTTCTCCATTCACAGCTTTATAATTCATATTATAATTACTAATTAAATTTAATTACTAATATACCTCCACGTATCTGTAGACAACTCTGTAGGTTGGCCAATAAAGTCAGGGACACATAAAAAGACAGACTCAGGTCAGGGAGATAGCTCAGTGGCATAAGCACCTGTCTGGCAAGTATAAGTTTCTGAGTTTGATCCCCAGTACCAAAAGAAAAAAAAGAAAAAAAAAATGTGCACAATGATCACAGTAAGAATAATAAATAACTGTTCATTATAATTATTCACAGAGTTTAGGACCTCTGTCTATATAGGCTGCTTAAGCTCTGGTTCATACAGTGAAGATCAGAAATGGTTCAAAAAGACAGACTCATGTTAGGAGAAATTTGGTACCCCAGTCAAATCACCTTACAATGCCTCTATAGTCTGCTGTGTGCATACAGTTCAAACTTATTATGCACCATTTAAGTTTTGTCAAGTTTTGTTTAGTGTCTTATCTTTATTTGAGTTAATAAGGTTTTAAAAGTATTTCATATATAACATATTAGCTAAGTGTATTAAAACATTTTGAGCTTTACTGCAATTTTCATTTTGGTTGAGCCTTGTTTTACTGCCATGTAGCAACAAATATGTGTGTGTATATATATGTATATACACACACATATATATATTAAAATAGGAGTATTATGACTCTAGTACAGTGGCACTCCTGTAATCCTAGCAACTTGGAAGGCTGAGACAGGAGGATCACAAGCATAAGCCCAGCCTGGGCAATTTAGCAAGATCCTATCTTGAATAAGATAAAAAAGAGTGGCTAGAGCTCATGGCAGAGCACTTGTTCAGCACAGGTTCAAAGCCCAATACTGGCACAACTGTGTGTGTGTGTGTGTGTGTGTGTGTGTGTGTGTGTGTGTGTTGGGGGAGGTTGAATTACGGAGAAAGTATGTGAGGCTGAAGAATGTGCCCCACACAGCTTACTTTAAGACAACTGACATTGCTATTCATTACCTAGTCATAGTGAGGACACTGTGGTATCTTAAAAGGAACCATGACTAACCTTTAAGTTCTGGATATGCTAGATATCTAAACGTAATGAGAATGGAGAGCTGAATCAGCACAATCAGCACAAAAAGGACCCGGGCCTGCACAGAAAGAGATGTTAATGTGCAAACAGATATACAAAACAGCTCCAATCAAGGCATTTGTTTGTTTGTTTATTTATTTATTTATGTTTGAGACAGGGTCTCACTAGGTAGTTCAGTGGAACTCACTATATAGCCCAGGGTGGCCTCAAAGTCACAGTGATCCTCCAGCCTCAGCATGAGTGCTGGGATTATAGGCATGCACCACCATGCCTAGAAATGGAGGCTTTTACACTAGGCCCATTAACAAAAATGGAAATGGCATCTGTGATACAAGAAAGATGGATAGATAGATAGATAGATAGATAGATAGATAGATAGATAGATAGACAGACAGACAGATAGATAGATATGCTTTTATCTTCAGCTCCTGGCCATAGCTCCAAAAGCCCCTGTAATTTTCTAAGTGGTAACAGTATTGTTATAGTATTTAGGTTTCACTCCCAGTTCCTGAAACCTCTCTGGAGTAGTGGTAAAAGAAGTATCTTCTGTTATTAATGACAAGCCCCTTTCAATCACACTTCAGTCCATGTTAAAGTGACTTCTGGAAAGCCCTAAAGAATTGGGGTTGGATGTCTGAGGAAATGTCCAGGTGATCAGAGGACTGGAAGTTTCACCCACATATCCCCTCTTCTCATCCCCTACCCCTTTAGCCTGAAGGATTTTAGGGTGAATTAATCTCTGTGATCAAAGATTTAGTAACCAAGAAAACCTCCATAATAAAGCCTCCATATAAACCTACTGCAAGGTTCACAGAGCTTCCCTCTTGGTGCATATGGGAGGTGCTGGGAGAGTGGCTTGTGTCTGGGGGGGCATGGAAGGGTATGACAACTCTCATATTTCACCCTGCCTCGCTTCCATCTGGCCATTCCTGAGTTGTATCTATATAAAAGCCAATAATTTAGTTGGATGTGGTAGGACATGCATGTAACCCTCAATACTTAGAAGCCTGAGACTTCTTCTAAATTCAAGGCCAGACTGAGCTACATAGTGAATTCAAGGTGAGTTTGAACTACATGGCGAGATACTGTCTCAACCCCCAACCCCCACTGCAAAACCAAAAGAACACATACACATACAAATGAAAAAAGCCGGGAATCTATATGCAAACTGTTTTCCTGAGCTCTGTTAGCTGTTCCACCAAATTACTGACTCTGAGGAAGGAGGTCTGGGGAGCTGCCTTCACCCAAGTCAGCCCCTGCTTTATGGCACTGGTTAGAATAAGGGTGCAAATTACTTGTCCAAGTCTCTGCTTCTCCTAATTCAAATCTACCTAGAAGCATTTTTTTTTTTTTTTTTTTTTTTTAGAACCAGGGATTGAACTCAGGCCCTTCTACTTGCCAGAGAAGCGTTTATTCCACTGAGCCATCTCCCCAGCCCCGCATTTTATATATCTAGACAAATAACTAAGCTTTAATTTTATAAGGTTCAGCTTTCTTGTCACATGATTATATTAGTAGAACTCTGCATCTACCAAATCTAGTAAAAACACATGGAACATGTAATTGAATGTACTCACCACCGTGCAGAGGTCTGTAAGGAGAATGAATGATGCCAGGGGATCAAATGTAAGATGCATGTTCTCTTGAACAGAAAATGTGTGATGAACATCCTTACTTCGTCCAGCAGAATCCTGGTTATAAGCACAATAGAGAAGCTCCATGAATATTTACATATACATAATGTTCTCAGTTATATACAAGGTGAAATTTCCAATGACCTTTGTCAATTACCACTGAACAGCTCACATTTTTTCACTTCTGATTTTCCCTGAGACTACATTTTTTCCCTGGCACTGAACACCGAATCCAGGGTCTCAAATGTGCTAGGTAAGTACTCTAGGCCAGCACCCTATAAGTACTATTTTTCTTTTAATTAATTAATTTATTTTTTTACAGGGTCTCACTACGCAGTTTGGACTCACAGTGATCCTCTGGTCTCAGCCTTCCCAGTGGTGGAATTACAGGCATGCGCCACCACACCTGCTTTTGGTACAGGGTCTCACTGTATAGTTCTGGCTGACCCTGAACTCACTAGACCAGGCTGGTCTCGAATTTGCAGCAATCCTCCTGCCTTACCCTTCCCAGTGCTGGGATTACAGGCAAGTACCATCATGGTCAGCTATGAGTGTCTTTTATTGTACTAATTTTTAAAAATTTTGCGGGATGGTTTGGATAATTGTACTGCTGATTTCTGCTGATGTACTGAAACAAGCAGTTAATGCACAAATCTTTTTAAATTTGTTTTCCTTTTTAATTTCTTATAACCTTTTTTCTTACTAATTTTACAGGTTTATATCTGGTAACCTAAACAATTTGAAGATAACATTATGCAACACAACAACTATTGTCAAATTCCTACTACTTTGTTTAATGAACTTTTGTATCATTTCTTTTTTTTTTTTTTTTTTTTTTTGCAGAACCGGGGATTGAACTCAGGCCCTTGTGCTTGCCAGGCAAGTGCTTATTCTACTGAGCCATCTCCCTGGCCCCTTTTTGTATCATTTCTAATGCTTTTTTGTTTTGTTTTACAGTACCAAGGATAAACTCCAGTCCTTGCACTTGGCAGGCAGGTGCTAATGCCACTGAACTTTGTCTCCAGCTCCTATTTTCTATTCTTAAAAAAAATATTTAAACCTTCACAATATTATTTGATCACCCCACTCGTATTATAGGCAGAAAAAGATGGTATATGGATTGTTCTTTTTTTTTTTTTTTTTCCAGAACCAGGGATTGAACTCAGGCCCTTGCACTTGCCAGGCAGGCGCTTATTCTACTGAGCCAGCTCCCTGGCCCCTAAGAGGGTATATGGAAAGGAACCTACAAATAAAACAGATGAGACAAGTCAGGTAACTGCGATATTTGCGCTCTGTTTGGATTCTGGTTGGAACCAACCAAATGCAAATAGATGTGATAAATTAGAAAAACTAAATGTTAGCTGTATAGTTTGATATTAAGCTTAGGTAGTGTTGCTTTATTATATGTAGTATTCATTCTGCAACTGAAGTGTGTGTAACATAGTCTGTGAATATGATCAGGAAGTGGGTTTGCTAGTCTAGCATTCTGTATCCTAAAAATCTAAGCATTGTTTTAGTGAAAGTGCCAGTATTTTACTAATGTTGATGTATGCAAGCAGTTTGTTCTTTGCTGTTTTTACTGTTTTCTCCTAGCACTGGAAAGTGGGGTGCAGTGTTTTCTGTGCTGGACCCACCTCGAAGGCTAGGGTCAGGTGGAAGGGACTGCAGTTCTTTCCCTGATAATGGAGAGAGCTTGGTATCACGGGCTGCATTTTTCCATATTACCTACAGTTTGCTCTTAATTTTGTTTTTGAAACATTTGACAAGCTTTGTAATGAAGTTTTAAGTTACAAATACAGTTGCAATAAAAATGTAAAGAGAAAAAAGAAATTCCTACAATTTTTTTGATGTGATATGGTATCATGGGGGTTTTTTTGTAAATAGCTTTTATTGTTAGCGATTCTAACATTTGTAGATGAAAAATAACATCATGGTGCAGGGAGGGAAGAAGCAGACAGTAGCACAGATGAAACAGGTTGTGAGCTTTGCTGATGAATTTGCTGATTTGGAATTTGCTAATGGATTCACTATAGTATTATCTCTTGTATATTTTATAATCTCTGCATAAAAACCTTTAAACTAAAAAAAAAAAAAGAATTTATATTGTTGTTTTCATCAAACATTTATTACTTAAAATATACCTTAAATGGTAAGTTCAAAATACAGATTTTCCTGTAGCTATGAGATAGATTTCTAGATTCTAGTCTAGAAATCTATTGCCTTCTGGCAAAGTAGGCACAATAACCCAAACTACTCATTCTCAAATTTTACTATACATCAGAATTTTGTGGAAGGCCAGGTGTAGTGGTGCACTCTTGTGATCTCAGCTCTTGGGAGGCTGAGACATAAGGATTGCCACAAGTTTGAGGCTAGCCTGGGCTACATAGTGAGTTTCAGGTCAGCCTGAACCACATAGCAAGACTGGCTCAAAAAAAAAAAGGAGTTTTGTGGAGTCCTATCTCCAGTTTTAAATTCAGTAGGCTTGAGATCAGACCTGAGAATTTATATGTCTAGCAAGTCTTTCAGGTAAACGTGATTTTATTAGTACAAGAGCCACACTGAGAATTAGTCCAAAGATTTAGGACGCTAGGAACCTATCAGTGTGTTCTCTTGCAGATTTTTAGATGTAAACCAGACCTATCTATACAGTACTGTATACGAAAGGATAGGACTTTCCTGTCAATGAATGAGGGGCTCAAACATAATTTTAAACTTATGCACATAGAAAAAAAGCAGTGGTTGCCTAGAGATGAGGAAGAAGGGCAGGAAGATTACAAAAGGGCCCCAGAAGACTTTTGAAGGAAATCTATCATATAGATTGTGGTGATGGTTCTGTGGAGGTATACATATGTCAAAACTCATTAAATAGTGTAGTTCAAATATGAGGAGCTTATTGTTTGCAAATTATACCTTGATAATGTTTTAAGAAATGTTAAGCACGTGCAAAATATGTGATTTCACACTTTTGCTAA